ATTTGATCCTCCAACGCATCTTTCACCAAAAACTTTAGCCTCCACAGTGTTGGTTCGTCCTGCATACATACAAGAAAACTAGCTAAGAAGAAAAGAAAAGACCCGTCTTTGATCAAAGAATCACAAATGGCGGTGGCTTTAGTAAGAGAATTACCAGTACATCCATCTCAATATTCACTTCATCTGCTCTAGGTTCGAAGCTCGAGTCAGCCTGAGCAACTACACTCAACACTTTCTGTAGATCATCCGGAGACAGCTTTAACAATGCCAAGCCAATATTACGCTTCTCCTCGGTCGTAATTTTCCTGATACAATCAGTGTGACCAAATAATACATTGACCAGAGGACCCCAAAAGGTGTTTAAAAATTCATTAAGAGCCAACCTGCATCTTTCCACAACTACATGCCTTAGCTTCTCCAGCTCCTCATTAACATTGCAAATCTGGACAGCAATATATCAGTTTGTTAGTTAAAAGTACGTAATAATACAAAAGGGTCGTTGAGATTGAAAAAATCACCTCATTGCTCAATTCTCTAGTTGTTTTGGAATGAGATGCTTCTTTTGCTAGCAGCGCCTCTATTGTTGCTTGTTTCTCCTCTTCCTCCCGTATTTTATCCTGTAATCAATTTTGTTAAAAACTTGGCTAACTTGAAAACCTTGGTGCTAAGATCCATCAAGAGAATAGTGTGAAAGATAATAACATATTGTTATTACCTCTTCCTGAACCTTTGGAAGAAAGTGTGCCCATTTCTCCTCAAACTTTCCCAGTAATGTTTTGGCCATAGAGTAAACTTCACTTGATTCTTCATTATACTTCATTGCGTTCTCAAACACTAACCGCATATCAGCATATATTTGCATAACATGTTTGTACCCGGTACCATCCTTCGCCTCCATTTGATTCTTTATCGTGCCAAAGTCCATCGGCTTGTCAATAATCTACAATCAGTTAAAACACGTTACAAAGAGACTCACTAACAGAAAAAAATGACAATCTAATAAACAAAGGAAAACACACACAAGATCATAAACATATTCACAAGGCAAAACATAGTAGAGTATTGTGTTCACAAGTTCAACCTGCATTGATCACTAGCTTTCTCTCCATTTTCTAATCAACTATAGACTTGATCAAGTCACAGGATTCTAGCACATCCTAACAAAATATATGACCGCTTATATTTTGAACGATAAATGCATGACTAAGGCAGAAACTCCATAGAATTGGCATTACAGTACTCCCGCACGAAATTTTGGTAGCTCTGATAGGCAAAAGCTATTCAGCCAGATGAACATTGCAGTTATACCGAAGGAATACAATAAAGAAAGGCGAACTTCTGGTAGCTCTAATAAGAGAACGCTGTTTCGTCAGCTATTATGTTCTACCAAAGTAAGAATCAACCGGGAAAGATCAAATTTGTATGTTTAACCCAAAAAGAAGATATCAACAAGAAAACTGAACGTTACCTCATAGTAGTCATGCAAACCAAGACCTTCTACATTGACAGGATGCAAAAATGGCCATGCGCATTTATGCTGAGTTATCTGAGAAACCCAATACTATCAAATTTAGTAATGAATTCAAAATTCTTCCTCTCTAAGACATAAATGCCAAGATCAATTCCGGTGGAAAAAAATAAGAGAGATGAGTTTTACCTGACGGAAGATTGTTCCGAATTGGCGAAAGAGATCATTCATTCTTTTTGCAGCAACAGCTTCTCTACGCGCCGCCTCTTGTTGAACCTTCCTAATCCCCACAACATGTCTAGAGCCACCATTTGAGAGGCCAATGCTCGAGTAAAAATCCTCTACTTGTTTCAGTTTATGCTCAAGCTACAGGCAAAGTAAAAACCAATCAAACATTATCCACTGAATCAACATTCTACAATCATGACTATGCCACTTCAAAGCAAAACTCAAAGAGACCAGTTATTTTACAGAAAGAGCAAAAAGCATTAGACTATGTAAGAATTTGGTTCAAAGCTTAAGAAACAGAGCAAGGATAAGGAGTCATAACACGAAAATGCCCTAATTTCAGTAACGAGAACAATAATAGAGCAATAAGAAGGAACCAAAGCTCGAGTTTTTATACCGAATCAACCCAAAGTAGAGCCTCTTCGACTCGCTGCTTGATGGAACCGGCCTCGACAGGGAAAACCTGGGAATCTCCGGCGGGGATTTGACCTAATTCTGGCCCTGAATCAGCCATTTACAGGTTCTCCGAGCAAACTAACAAGCAAAGACAACTGAAACGAAACCCAGAAGAAAAAGGGTGCGCAAATTGAACTACATGTCGTTTTGCATCCAGAAAACGACATTTCTCTAGAGAATTTAAATATTAAAAAAAAATAAAGACCATTTTTATTGTGCGCAAATTAAACTCCCTGTCGTTTTTGGATGCATAACGACATCTATATACAAATTAAAATTGAGACCATTTTTTAATTAAAAACAATTCTTTAATTAAAAACTATGG